GGAATCTAGCAGGTACATTTTGTTCTTTTTTGAGCTAGTAAGTGGGATGAACTTGAATTCCCCAGTGAAGAATGGTGATGTTGTCTAAGACTAAGACTCAATCTCAGTGAGCCTACATTATTTCAAACACCAAAGTGTGCAATTGCAGAGGCTTGTGCAATTCGAGTTTATAAACCAGGTCTCTGTGTACAAAAGGAGATGGTCGTGACTCTGAATCTACCATGGTAATACGTTTTACTTATAATTCTACCTCCTATTATTTTTATTATTATTATTATTCTTGATTCATTTAAAACTATCCTTTATCAGTAGCATTATCTTAACTCACTTCAACACTATTATTATTGTTATTATAACTACTACTATTTACATCACTCTGTTTGCAATTCTTGTTATATTCTCTAATGTCTAATTGTTTATCTAAGTGATGTAATTGAAGCGTAATGCAATTTATCTTAATTTTGATCTTTCATACTCTCTCTCCCCTTATCTATTTGAACATGACCTGGAAAAACATTCGCACCTGTCTTTCTGCATGACTAATTCAATGTAGTTTGTTTACTTATCAGTCCTATATTTCCCAATGTAATTTCAAAAGTATATATATCCGTGTATGTAGAGTATTCAGCTGACGAGTTCTACCGAAATTTGATGAATCCATCATTAAATCCTGCTTTATTAACCTTTATTGCTTGTTTTAAATTCGTATCGGGAAATAAATATTTTCAAAGTGTTTCCTGTCCACTAGACCACTTGAGCTGTGAGAACAACAAAAATTTTTATTTGTTTTTAATTCATTTTAGAATTCGCCATCAGTTCACTAGACGGAAATAACCGGCTAGTGTCCAAAGGCCACTCCCTAATCAGTGGAAAAGTCAAAGATGAATTAAAAATGAGTAATGACTGATGTCCTTGAGCACAACAGGTGTTCCTTGCTGCCTAAGTGGCTTAGTGGATAACCCTCCGACGTTTGAAACAATGGTTAGTAGTTTAAATTAATCCCAGCGTGTTAAGAAAGTCAAAACAAAATCTGTTTTCTGAACGTTCGCTGTGTAGGAACAGCTTCTACAGCAAATTATTTATAATTGATGGATATTATAAATCGAATCTGCTGAAGAAGCTTGCTTACACAGCAACGTTCAGAAAAATCTTGTTTGTTTTTCCTAACACGCTGGGATTAATTTAAAAAATTTATAATGAATCAATCTGACTCGGCGCTCAAATTATTCCAGGAAGTTCGTAACACCTACGGCCTGGAAACCTATAATGGTTAGTAGGCTTGAGTTTCATCGGGGAATGCCATCACTCACTGATGATTGCAGGTACATTCGGCTGACTAGTTCAAATAAGGCGAAATATATAAACCTCTGACTACAATGGCAGTCACCATCCATCATGTGGCCTCATGTTATTCCTTAGATACCGTCAAAGCGTCAGTCAATCAGTCGAAAGCGAAAATTGACTTATTCAGACATGCATTAACCACAAAATCTGATTATCGATTTTGTAGCTTAAGGTATGCAGCCAAAAAAATTATTTTCAAAAAATTATAAATCTTTGCAATGTTTATCCTACCCCCTGCAGTTGATTCACCTGCTGATAAGTTGACTTCTTAGAGACATCGGTTTTTCGTATGCATATATTTACGTCAAAAAAACACAAATAGATAAGACTGATGAAGCCTGTTTGATTGGACTTTCTATCATTTTCGGCTAACAAAAGTATAAGAAAATAAACTGAACCGATATTACCCTTATATTTGGAGGATCTGGACTTCGCCGATGATTTATGTCTGATTTCCTACAAAATGGAAGATATGCAGGTGGAAAGCAACAAGTTGACAGAAGAAGCATCAAAGAAAAGGGATTCAGGTGAACACAGAGAAAACAGAGGTAATGAAGATTCCTGGACAAGAACAACATCAACAGACAACGATCAGCATAAATGGAAGGAACCTGAAAGGAATAACCTCTTTTACTTAACTGGGAAGCATCGTTTCAACTACAGGCGGAACTGACGAGGATATCGAAGCAAGAATCGGAAAACCAAGGCAAGATTTCACTACTCTCAAGTCTGTGTGGAGGTCAACAGCACTCAGCATCAAAAATAAGATCCGGATTTTCAATTCCAATGTGAAGTCAGTGCTACTCACTATACGGATTAATCAGAGACTTGCACTGCGCGTCATAAATAGCATCTCAAACGAACTACAGACCTTCATTAACAGTTGTCTTCGCTCAATACTCAAGATCAGATGGCCATAAAACATCAGCAACAGGAATCTCTGGGAGCGAACCAACCCAGCAGGAACCGATTGTGAAACAAATAGGCAGGAAGAAATGGAGATGGATTGGCTGGCCATACTCTGAGGAAACCATCAAGTGACATCACTAGACAAGCCATTGCTCGAGTGGAACACGGTCGAAAGGGAACCGGCGAGTTGGTCGTCAGTGCAAGGGTGACTTGGAGGAGGTCATGTGAAGAGGAGATGAAAGCATGTGGGCAGACTTGGAGCCAGGTGAAGACTCTAGCAGAGAACCGAACTCAATGGAAACGCACGGCTGAAGCCCTATGTTCCTCTAGGAATTAAAGGATACAGTAATAAATAATAATAATATTACCCTTGAGGTTTCCAAATTAGTGATTGCAAGAAGTGGTCCTATATTTCTTCACACTGTTCAAGGTGATGATTCCATCACAGTTTCCTTTGGAAATCGAGGTTATTCAGATTTCATACACAGTTCCATTTACGCTTATTACGAGTTTGCATAAGTAGCTTACCAGAAATTGGATGGTTTGAACTGACTCAGCAATCTAAGCTCAGTCAAACCGGATACACCTTGGATGAGGTCCCACAGTCCCACAGGAAGGAAACTGTCGTCTACAGATGTTTAGATCACTGCAAACTGGCTGGCTAGTAAGCACTACTACTAGTTGTTGTAAATGGTGTACAACTAACTACTCACCTCAAGTAATCAGTAGTATGTAGTCTTTAGCTGAGAAATGCATCATAAAAATAAATAAAGTTGTTAATTCCCATATTAGTTTGTTTATTAGATGTATCACACAGTGAGTGAACCAGTATTATTTACTGGATGACGTTTCGAACAAAATTTATTGTTCATAATCATTTCAACAGTTATAATCACACGACTTGAGTTTTATAGTTTTCTTTATTATTATTATTTCCTTTAATTCCTAGAGGAACATCGGGGTTCAGCCGCGCGTCTCTGATAGAGTTTTCACCTGGTTCCAAGTCTGCCCACATGCTTTCATCTCCTATTCACATGACTTCCTCCAAGTCACCCTTGGACGACCAACTCGCCGCTTCCCTTTCGGGTTCCACTCGAAGGCTTGTCTAGTGATGTCACTTGATGGTTTCCTCAGAGTATGGCCAATCCATCTCCATTTCTTCCTGTCTATTTGTTGTACAATCGGTTCCTGGTAGCTTTGCTCCCACAGGTCCCTACTGCTGATCATTTCTGGCCATCTGATCTTGAGTAGTATTGAGCGAAGACACCTATTGATGAAGGTCTGTAGTTTGTTCAAGGTGCTCTACACTACACCATGTGCTGTTACACACAACCATACAATAGGATGGGTGGAATAAAAATGACAGTTTTAAAATCGAATGCAACAGTGTGTAGAGAGATATTGATAAAAGAAGCTTTTTTTATCCAATTAACTGGAAATACATGTAATAGGAATGACTCAACACCTGTCCAGCCGGATATCTGTAAAACGCTACTACCCCTACGACGACAAATAGGAGAGAACAAAGAAAACTGTATAACCCAAGTTTCAAAGTGGTGTGATTATAATTGATGATTTGATTATGAACAATGAATTTTGTTCGAGACGTCATCCATTAAATAATACTGTTTGACTGTGTGATACATTTAATTAACAAACTAATATGGAATCACTTACTAAGAAATGCCTAAGTTTTACACATATGTCAATTCCCAATTGTTATATTATACATAAGCATAGTGGTTAGGACGATCCCCGATGATGCACATGGTCCGGGGTTCGATCCCCAGCCGATGCACTCCTTTACCTCGCTAAGCCAGAAATAACGCTGGTGAAGAGGAATGGTTGGGTATGAGGCTAGCAATCCCATCCTGTAAAATAAGCACTGCTACAGAAACTTCAAGCCTCTAGCTTGAAGCCCTATGTTCCACTGGGGAACGTGAAGGAAATTAAAAAAAATGATATACATAAGATGATTTCTAATACAAACCTCCACATATAAGACAACAAAACACTATATCTAACTAACACAGAATACAGAATCGACATTCACTGTGGCATACAGATAATCATTTTTCAGCGGGAGGTATTACAGCTCAGTGACTGATCATTAACTGTTTTGACCCTTCATGAGATGATTAAATGTTACACTCTGGGTAAATAAACCCTGATGCTTGAGGCAGGACTACATATAAAGGTCAGTATACACCTTTCCTCAGGTTCAGTTCAAATGAAAAAACAAGTGGAAATAACACTGTCTTTCAAAGAGCACTAGACGAATACGCTTTGATTATTAAATACACAATTAAAGATACTCCATAGGTAGATAGGAAGACATAAAGATGAAAAAAAAGGATATTTGAGTTAAGGACTATCCAGAAGAAATATCAGCAACAAGTGAGCTGCATTTCATTGCGAATGGTAATAATAGTGAAGCCGCATAATCAATAGCATTTAAAGATATCAAGAAGTTATTTTTAGCTTCACATATGCTTGTGCTTCAGAAGCTGAAGGTTTCAGTTGAGATCATAATGTGACTCTATTGATGTGTCTCAAAATGGGACGAAGCTGCATTTCATTTTGGCTGGTTATGGGTGTTTAACAAAAATCAATGCAAATCACGACACTGACTACAACTGTTTGTTAAATTATGCCTCAGTTTGATTTAGACTCATTTTTACATATGGTGATACTGAGCAGTCTGGAAAGGAATTACCTACACCGCTAAGAAACAAAGTATCATATTCTCACAGGTCCTATAAGAATGTAATTTGGAGGCATTGTTCTAACCATATGTGGAGAGAGGGTGCATCACAAAGAGCATTTTCAAAAAGCTATTTCGGACTTTTATCAAAAGCTGCTTTTACAAGGTCCTCTACTGACGATAACATCGCCATAATGATATTAGCAACGATGAGCCAATCAAGGACCTACTGCTTATGAATTATGTAGAAGGAAGATGAGATGGATTAGACACACGATGACGAAACTGCTGATTGTCACCATATGCTTCACTGGAGCTCGAATGGGAAACAACGAGTTAAGCGTTGATCCGCGATCATGAGCAGAGAAGATGATCGCTTTGGTCAATCTTGGATGCAGCTAGAGAAGACTGTTGAAACCTCGATATTCCTCTGTACCCCCAAGGGAAACTCATCATAAGATTACTTCCTGAAGTTGTGGAAATTCTTTAATAACATTGCTTTTTCAGACCTAACTATACTTTGCTGAAGAGAATCAAATTACGATATTTAACTCACAATTAGTTCGTAATAGGGTCCCTCAAATAAATCAGAAATTAATAACTTCAGACTTCTACAGTGGAATTCTACAATTCAATAACACACAAAAGGAATTGTATCCACACACTATTCAAAAGGTCCAGGATTCGTTGCAGCACTCCCACCTTAATGAAAATTGAAGAAAGATATCTCATGGACGTCTTACAAAGGAATGGATATCCATGGAATTTCTTCAAAAGACATATACCCCCAAGCCAACCTATCAAATCAAAGGCCCCCTAGAAAAGCACAAAGAAAATAGCCTTACCATATATAAAGGACATCTAAGAAATCATTGAAAGACTTTTCAAACCTTTAGGAATTGACATAGCACACAAACCAACAAAATCACTTCACTCAGCTGGCTCCATGTCAACCAAAAGACTCAACAACGAAAGAAGATAAAATCAACATCATCTATAAAGTAAATTGTAACAACTGCGAAAAACACTACATTGGCCAAAGTGGACGTCCCCTTCGTCTTCGTATCCACGAACATAAGCTAGCCGTCAAAAGACATGACATCCACTCCCTCATATCGCCTCAGTGCATACAGACAACCATGAACATCAATTTGACTGGGACAACCAGCGTTCAAATATCAGACAGAGGAGACACCAAGAATGCTAGAGAATTTTTAGAAGGCTGTCTGGTATTTTAGTGAATCGTCAATCAATAGACACATTGACACATACAGAATTTACCAATCGATAAGAAGAAAATCTCACACGCACAAAGGATCTAACTTCAGGTCAAGGAAACAATCATCACCAATATCAATACAAGTAGCCTAGATGGTGTGAAAACACACGAGAACAACCAAAGAGTCACGTTGAAGGTCACCCACCAGAAGAGATGACTAATAAACTCGTGAACAAATCCAAAAGCTCATTTCAACAAATTGAAGTATGCGCTGAAGATGTTGCTTAGTAGGGCGATGAAAGCTTCGCAAGAAACTATCCTGCTTAGAGAATACAACTATATCGAAATCATCCACCTGAGTTACAAATCGTCTCCAGAATTATTATCCCCACCTTTTTTCTTTCAAAGGCATGATTTACTAATGGTTGAAATAAGCAGAAACAGACTGAACAAAGTTCAAATACTGACTAAAGAATTTAGTAAACAAGATAACATTTAAGATGAATAATTTCCCTCTAAACTCCATATACTTTTCGTAAACTGACATTTGTGTAGTAACACTAGCAAATGCCATTTCGTAAAATCAAGTTTAAGCATAACAATTTTAGCATATTATTTGGAGATTAATCGAATAGCTAACATTCGAACCCAGTTCCATAAGAATTAGTCTGTGAGCCCCACTTTATTGCCCAGACTGAATTAGGTTAACACTGGGTACGAATCTGAGGTGAGTGTTTAAGAACCAATATGTTTGGAGTCTCTTAGTCTTTGATGACATGTCAGACGCTTCAGTGATATCCTCAGCCTAGGATACTGTCGTTTTGGTAGACAATGGATAGCAGTGGAATCCAGAACACGCGTTTTATTGGCCTTAGAACTTAACCAATCAGTGATGCCACTGCTTAAGTCAAACCATACATTTTAGATGCTGTATTCGAGTTTTTAGTCAGAACATCACAGTACACTGAGGATACAGAATGACTAGCTAAGTTCCAGCATATACGTTTGCGTGGAAGTGCAGCATTTTGAGTCGTCACACTCCATGCAGCAAAAAAGAAAGACAAAAGAGAGAACAAATAAGGATCCAAAGGAACAATTGCAGACAGAAGTGTGAGGGGAAATGAATTGCAGTAACATGGAGAAACTTGATGGTTTCATGGATACAAAGCATGACAAACACAGAATGCGTCTGAGCTATTGAGAAGCGCTATTTCCAGCTAATATCACCAATTGTCTTCACCCGAAAGAACCTAACTATGACGTTGTGGTGTGACCAGCAGTAACTCTGTAAATACACGTACATCTGATCGACGTGAACGCCAATTCTCCACAACCACACGTCAATAGGAGCAGAATACTTCTATTCCTTTAACACAATAATTAGAACAGATCATTAAAAAATATAAAACAATAATAGTAGTTACAAAACTTACCTTCCGTTTAGCTCTAGTCAACTTTTGATCTCTAGCACTATCACGTTCCCCTGGAGTTTTTAAACGATTCACACGAAGTGCTATAGCCGTGTATGTTCCGCATATAACGCCTAACGGTAAAAAATACTGTAGAATCATAAGGAGTATTGTGTAGACGACATCTACTTTTATAGTGACTATTTGTTCAAATAACTTGATAGATATTTCATTTTTATTTGGTTCATAATCTGTAAAATTATTCCCCGTGGTCTGTTGTATTGTAGCCAGTAGAAGACTCCAATCTTCTTGACAAAATGTCTTATTCTCTCTTTCCATTATATGATTAACAATTGGTACAGGTAATGGGATGATTAGTGCTAAAATCCAGACACCAACTAGTAGGCAAACAGCTTTACGATGTGTCATTCTAGGACGTAGGGGGAAGAAGACAAGAATAAATCGATCCCATGAGATTAATACATGCGTCAATGCACTGACAAATACACTGACACCTTGTGCATAAGGGACAATTTTACATAAGGGTTCACCAAGTGGCCAAGATAGGTAGATAATCTCTGTGAAAACATACACTGGGATACACAACACTGCCATTAGGATATCTGCGAGACTCAGGTTGAATAAGAACAGACTTGTTATACTGGTGCTACGCATTCCACCCTTGGACGAGGAAGAAGACGTGGTATAATTCGCTTGTAATTTGCCATAGTTGGTTAACAGACTTCCACGTTTATCCGCTGTAGGGAATGCAGGGAAATGAGTTGTCACTGTAAGAGAACCAGCATAATTTCGAGTGCCAGGCGGATGATGTTGTTGGTGTTGTTGCTGCTGCTGCTGCTGGGATTTCTGTGTTGACTTGAAGACCACATATCGAGGTGTATTCTGTACTATGCAGGTTTTACCACAGCTACATTCATGCTGACTACTTGGACATTCATCAACCCATGGATCAATATTATTAGGATTATCATTATGAACAATATTCAGATTATTATTGTTATTATTATTATGATTACTGTTGAAGGATCTGATGAACGTGGAATATTTACTACGTCCTAACAGTGTTCGTAGACATTTGAAGGTACTGCAATAACGAAAACGTAATAAGATGCAGACTACTGTATTCCCGAGGACAGCTAAAACAATCACAGTGACAAAAATGATAACAAGAAAGGTGACTTCGCCTTCTGTAAAGAAAAATGGCGCTGGATAATCGATAAGGATTTGATTTAACTCATCCATAACATTACATATAGACAAAGGGACGAAGAAATATAAATCAATAATTAATTGTCCACCACAATTTGATGATTAGAAACAAATTTTAATGATAATAAAATTCTCGATTGTTTAAGAGTGCAATTATGACAAATATATGCTGATTAATGAAAAGAAATACTGATAATGCTAGTGATAGTAGTGATAGGCATTATTGATATTCATCGTAATGCAACCACCTGATTGGTTGTTTCGACTGTGTGGAAAAATTTCCCATTGGTTGACCAATCAGAATTTTACTACAAAGCTGACTGTTGCTGTTTCAAATTGGATTATAGACTGAAAGAACTAAGAAGTACTGATTAGCTGTTTCGTCCTAGTTGGAGACTCTCCCGCGATAAAAATTCATCACATGCCCACCAATAGATGGCTAAAGAGCGTGGTCGCCTGGAGTTCTATTGGAAAGTTTATGACTAGTGGGCTCTATCAGGTTATGTGTGAGGCCTTATACTTGCCGGAGACATTCGCTGGCGATGAAGCTACAGACATAGGCTATCGGATTTCAGTGTTTTATAAATCTCTAAAGTTTTCATTACAGACTGAACACATTTCGATCACAGTATATGATTATGGATAAAATTTATTTTGATAAGGTCTCACAGCGTGTTATACAGTTAATATTTACTGATGACCACTTTTCGAACACAATTTATTACTGCTCATTATCATATCAAGTCACTTACACAACTTTCTAACTTCGTTTATATAATTCCGTTATTTTTCATCGCTTGACTTGATTGATAGTAGTATTTTCCATATTCCTGATATGAGTGGAGTCATTCCTATTGCACGTGTTGGGTGTAGACTCGATGAACAAGGATTCAGTAATCAACCTCTGTCTTTCCACATAACTATATTACTTCCTGGGATTTTGACTCTGTCCCACCCACCCTAATGAGTGGGTGTGTGTTAATGCATGCAGTCCAATCGCTGAGCTTTTTTTCTAAATTACTTATCTTCTCTGGGTCAACCATTCTTACCTTAGCTAAATTCTTATGTTCTGACAACTCACTATCCTCGACCAACTAGTTTGACCTATGAATTTGACCTCAGACACAGTCATTCCAGGGTATTTTGTAAATTATATTATTTTGTCTAATTTGGTCAACCTACAGGGTCTTTCAACCTACAAAGTTTGTCCTACATGAGTGAGTTTGTAAGTTTAAATTGTACTCTAATTCCTGCTTTACTGGGAATCTTACGTAGGGTCTCAGATGTCCCCTCCTTATATGATTAAACTGGAGACGCCTTTTATTCTCTCTTATTTGTGTTATCGTAAGTAGTTTCACAATTATTTTTATTTTTATTTTGGCCATTTTTAATCTTCCTGATGAATTTTAGAGGATAGTTATTTAACACCAATGCCTCTTCTATCTTTTTTTTTTCATCATTGAGGTCTTTTTTGTGCTACTGAGTGCTACTACTCGGTTTGATAGACACACGTAACTAAGCCTGCCTTCACAGAAAGATAATAGATGAGATGAATCAAAGATTAAACATCCATTGCCAGAGTGTGTTGAATTTATATACGCTGGTGTGCAGTTTACCTTCTTCTATTCCTTTTATTTTACAATCTAACACAGCTAATTGTCCTTGCTCATTTCTTGATTCAAATTTAGATTTTTATCCCTTCACTAGTGCGTTTATAAGTGTCAAGAAGCTAGAGATATGTTCTTTGTTTCACACTGTATGTGAAAGAGTTACCCACTTATCTCCACCATATTTTTGGAGTAGGATAAATGTATTAAGAGCACCATTTTCCCAGCTGTCCATAAATATATCAGCTACGTAGGGGATATTGGTGATCTCATTGTTACAACTTCTGTTTGTCTATATATTTTGCCTTGAAATTTAAAGATAGTAGATGTGAGGCATAACTGAATTCCTAAAATAATTTCCTCAATGGACAGCTTTGTTCTATGATTGAGTTCAGCATCCGCAGTCAGTTCTTTTTTAACTGCTTCTAAGTCCATACTGATTGGTATATTAGTATAAAGACTAGTTATATCAAAACTAACCACTGTTTCATCATTCTCTAGTTGAATGTCATTTAGTTTATTTTTCATCTCAAATGAATTACCTAGTCTAGAGTTTGAGCGATTTCTAATGGGGCATAATATTAGAGCTAAGTGTTTTGATAATTCATAGGTAGGAGTATTCCTAAAATCTACTATTGGTCGTATGCGGTACCCTGGTTAATGCATTTTAATAGTGCCATACATTCTACTATCATTATTAGTTTTAGGCATTAAATTAAACCATTTGCACTCACCCAGTGATGGTTTCATTCTGCGTATTAGTTCTATTTTCGATTTCTAAACCTTATACATTATTGCATCTACAGGCCTCATAACTTATTCATAAGAACTCATCTCAATGTTTTCAATGACTTTCTTGGTGTAGTCAGATTTATCCAAAAATACTGTAGAGTTTCCTTTATCAGCTTTTATGATGATGATGTTTTATCCTGTTTTAGACTAATTAGAGCTTGTCTTTCAGATGTTGTTAAGTTTGATTTTGTTTTCTTTTGGTTTTTCAGGGTAAATGCACATTGTGCTCGAACCTCTTCTGCTGTTGTCTTATCTATTGAGCTTAGTGCTACTTCAACGTTAGGAATGACATCCTGTGGTTTTAATTTATTAACTGTTCCGTTGAAGCTTAGTCCTTTCCCAAGTACATTTATCTCACTAGAACTTAGTTCCCTTAATGAGAGGTTGGTCACCCAGTTTGTTATGTCAACAGATGATGAAACGTTGGCGTCAATTGCTTCATTTATTGTGTTCTTTTCTTCCATCAGTTTGTTGAATTTTTTCATTTGTGTGGTTTTTGACTTTCATCAATGCTGATTCTCTAGCTTTTCTGAATGTTTCAACAACAATTACATAATCGTTATCATTGACCATACATTTGAGTTTGTGTTTGAGTTTTTCGATTTCATTTCGTATATTATTTAGTTTCACAGTAATTCGATGTGGTTCTTCCCTTAGACATAATCTACTGACATATTCGGCTGCTCGTGTTATTTTTCCTAAAGTGCTTTGAGTACGTTGACGTAAATATTTTGGAATTATATGATTTTTTAAACATCGACTGTTGAAATTTTGATGGTTTGTGAATCTTGCTTCTGTTTGACAAAGTTGTGTGAGTTTAATGATAAGCTTCCTAGTATGAAAACCATTTTTATCATGGATATAAGAATAGGACTTGTGCACTGTGGTACAGTATAATTCCATTGTGGGTAAAATTTCACTGTGATAAAGTCTCACAGTGTTATACAGTAATTACTGGTGGTAAGCAGATGAAAAGTATTCCTTATTCCTTTGATGTTTGCACACTAAACAAGTCCTTCATACATTCTCCCACAAATGCCAAATTTTCTAGTGTTACAAGTGTTAAGGAAACCTGCTTCCCTGGTTTTAATACAGATGATGTTCTAAAATGTCTCCAGTCTCTGAACCCTTCTTGTAGCCTGGGTCTAGATGGTTTGCCTGGTGTTATTCTTAAAACGTGTGCAGATATCCTGTGTAATCATCTCATGGACATATTTAACGAATCTTTTTCCAAAAATGTCGTGCCAGCCGTTTGAAAGGACATTAAAATTGTACCTATACCTAAGTCATCTACTGCAACATGTTTTCAATTTAGACTCATTGCTATTACTTCCCTTTTTCTAAAAGCTATGGAAATGTTACTCTTAATTAATCTTCAACCTTCACTTAAAGCTTTTAACGGTCCTAAACAATTCGCTTATAAACACAGTAGATGAACTTTAGACGCAGTTGCAGTCTTGCATCATAACATTGTCTCCAGCTTAGACAAAGGGGCTAAATTTGTTCGCTGCACCTTCCTAGATTACACATCTACTTTCGACTCAGTTCCTTGGGACAATTTGTTAAACAAGCTTGCTGAAACTCAAACTGACTGTAGGGTTGTCAAATGGCTGCATTTTTATTTCTCAGGAAGAAAGCAGTACACTGTATGTCAGGGAAAGTCGTCCACTTCATTACTTACTGTGAAGCTGGTGTCACTCAAGGCGCTGTCCTTTCTCCTTTTCTGTTTAACTTCTTCTTACATGACTTGCCTCACTCTGATGACGAAATGAACTTTGTTAAGTATGCCGATAATCTAACTATTTCAATGTCTGTTAACTCCCAGCTAGACTGTACTTAGATGAACAGATTTATATCGGGAAGTAGCAAATGGTCTTCGTCTAACACACTTAAACTTATTCCTTCCCAATGTCAGACTGTTAATTTCAGTTCCCGATGTAAACGAAAGTTAAGTGAAGCCGTTGGTTCCTATGACCCTTGCAAAATTGATGATACTGATGTAGAAACCAAGTCTGAAGTTAAGTATCTTGGATTAATTCTTTCTTGTGACCTATCATGGTCTTCCCATGTCTTAGCGACTTCTAAAAGAGCATTTTGTCTGACTTTTCTCATTAAAAATTAAGGCACTAAGACATAACCCAACCCCTCCTCTTACAGTTTGTCAACTTATGGATCTTACATAATCTTCTTTACTGGTTACTGGTTAACTGGTTACTCCCATGATCCTGCTGTCATGGATGGCACTGAAGTTGAAACTAAGTTGAATATGGAATACTTTAGATCGATAATTTTCACTGACCTTTCTTGGTGCCTCCACGTCATGTTAGTTTCTAGAAAGATATATCAATTAAAGTTCTGTGTTATGGTCCTGAGACAGCCTGGGATCTCTCAGTCCCTACTGTTACAATTTGATAATTTATGTACTTCATTTATTCCGCAAGAAATACGATGAACCGTAAAGAAGACTCTTGAAGATCTGGATTTAGTTTGTGGATGATTTATGTATAATATTAAACAAACTTGGAGACTTGCTAGCAGGCGGAAACCAACAAACTGACTGAAGAAGTAGGTGGCAAAGAGAGGCCTTCAAGTCAAGATAGAGAAGATGGAAGTGACTATAATAACCAGCCAACCAACAACAGGAGCAACAACCAGCACCCAACATCATCAACGGGAGAGATTTGACAGAGGGAACTAACTCACCTTATATAGGGGACACGTTTTAAACAACATGCAAACGGAAAGGATGAAGGTGTGAAAGCCAGTCGGAATTCGAATGGCAAGATACA